CTGCTCTTGTGGCTGCCTCCTATATATATTTACAATGTCGACGAATAAAGAAAAAACCATCATTCTGCGGGTGATGAAGAAATATTTGACAAAAATCCCTCTTTATATTATTATCTTTTGTAATTTAATAATAAGTAAGCATATTTTAAAGTATATTTTAAATTTTAAAGTATATTTAAAGCATATTTTAAAGTATATTTTAAATTTTACGTTGGTAGTTTAGAGTCATAATTCTAAAGTTTAGTTGAATTGAATTTTTCCTCATTTTACAACAACTAGAGTAAGAATTGAAGTTTTTTCGTGCTAAAAAATGTATATTTCTCAATTTATTCTTACAGATTAGCTTGTAAATGGTAAAATGTTAATACAAAATGTGATTGTACCATAATATAATTTTAATACAAAAATGTAAGTATACCATAATATATCAATAATATTTTGTCAAATTTTAATCAGTAACAGTATTAGCTTTTCGCATGTTGAGATACATTACGCCATTTAACGGTCCTGTCATAGACATTGCTGGATCAATGATCACTGGTATCGTAGTTTTTTCGCATGGTGTTACTTCATACTTGTTCAACATTTTAATGAGCGCCAGTTTTATCAATAACAGTCCAAAGCGAATACCTGTAAAACGTACAATAATATACAACTTATTATATCATATTTAAAAAAAATTAATTTCTAAATGTTAATTGATTTTATTTTTTTTATTTTTGCAACTTTGTAATTGAAATCATCAATTCCATAATTCTCTGTAATCGCAGAGTCTAGTCTGTACTAACTAAAAAAGTCTTGAATATTATTGCATAATCGCTATCAATGATCATGATTTGAGATTTCATTGCATCAATATTATGTAATTGTAGTAATTATATTGGTATCGCAATTTATTTCCGTTGATTTCTTTATTTCTGATTCATTTATAACACAGTCTGTGCATGTAATAAACCTTAAAATATACGCTACTTAATTTATGTTTTCAAATTCAATTTTACCATTAAAATACAACTCGTACGTAACTTAATTGTCTAAACGTAAAATTTTAGGTTTATGTAGTTAAAAAGTGTACACTTTCCATTTTTACTGATTTTAATTTCGCGTGCGATTGGCAATTTTAATCTTTTCTTGATGTCATAGTTAAAATCAATTGCCTCACCTATGCACGCATGTGGACCATCTCCAAAAGGAAAGTAAACGCATGATGGCATATTACGTTTGTTCTTCTCATTAAATCGCTTTGGATCGAATTTTTCAGGATTGGGGAAATATTCCGGATCGTAATGTAGAGCATGCATTGGGATATAAACTGGCATATCCTTTTCAAGTACGAGATTAAAATTCGGTATTTGATAAGTCTCCATTGTCTTGCGATTCAGAAATCCCAATGGAGGATATTTTCTTAAAGTTTCCGATATCACCATATCCATATACGGTAGCGAAGTGATCTAGTAGAATAAAGATGTTATTTTTATATATTGAAGATTCATCAAATTTTAAAATTCACTCAGGAACGAAATTAATAGACGAAAAAAATATTTGGTTGGGCAAAAATATGAAAAATATTTATATCGACATTTTTTCACAGAAATTATTTGATGGAACAGATGATATTAGCGCACCATGTCATATGTCATTTTTCTATCGAAATTGTTGAGCGCTTGGTGTATTTCTTTTCTTAGGATGTTCTGAATGTCAGGTTGTAATGCGAGTTCATACAACGTGAAAACAACAGGCATTGCGGATGTATCGAAACCGGCTGAGAAGAAACTGAGCGCTTGCGCCATGAGAACATCTCCATCCAATTCTAAAATTTAATTTCATTTGTATAGAGTTTTGAAAGCCTCCGTTGTCGCTGCAATTAAGATCGATTACTGTTTGTAAGAAAAATAGCTACCGAACTATTTGAGTAGCACGCCTTAAAGACCAGTGCTACCGATTTCTGTAAATGGACATGCGGAAGAGGGAATACTGGCGCGAATATTATAGAGGCTGCGGTCCACTTGCTTCTTCCAAATGCTCTGAACGTTACGCTCCAAACGCTACGCTCCGATTGGTCCATTACTATTTCGAATGCTACAATTGCTACGTGAACACTGCAGCCAACCCATCTCCCCGAGATGAAGCAGTTGGAGCGAAGTGAGAACAAAAACGATGACATATTGATGACATAATCAGAGTTGCTGGGAGCGTTCCGAAGCATCAAATGGACCAGTCATGTCAGTGCTACAAATGCTCTGTAGCGTTTGAAGCGCTAAGTAGACCGCAGCCAGAAAGATGACAATCTGCAACGGTAACAGTCTTAGAGCCTGAGCACAATAGAGGAACAGGAATTAGATATTAAGATTTCAACCTATTAGAAACTGATTACATCAGAATACACGGTTTCTGATGGGTTGAAACCTTAATAATATCTAATTCTTGTTCCTCTATTGTGCGCAGGCTCTTAGGGCCTCTTTCACCAACTCCGATAAACGTTCGATGGTTAACTTAATCACCACGATTGCCAACGTGAGAACTAAACACAGAAAAGGAAGAAAGAGGAGACGTTCTGATAACTACTGCTGGCACTTTTGCGAGTTAAGGCCGCAGCACACACTTTTGCATAACGCATAACGCATAGTGCATAAGCGAATCAACTAATCAGAATCTTTCCTTTCCTCCCATTCCATGAAAAAGAAGAATTTTGATTGGTTTATTCCTTTATGCACTATGCATTATGCGTTATGTAAGAGTTTGTGCTGCGGCCTTTAATCGTCGATTAATTTAACCAGAAGTTGATGAAAGAGGCTCTTAGGGATTTTATTTTTGTCGTAAGATAAATGTAATGCAGGACATAGAGGTCCTCGGATCTCTCTATCCTATAGCCAATCAAAAGGCTTGAAAAATTTGCCGTACAACAACGCACGAATGAAATCCCATATCCTTACCGCACGTGAATAGATGAATTGTACGATAATATTCATACGATATTTTCTTACATATCAGAAATTGGATTATGAACAAGTACGTGCCTAATCGATTCAGCTTGTGAGGAAATACATACAGTGTAGTTATTACAGTGTAGGATGCCATAAGTTGCGTCGCGAATTCAATCGAAGTACGGTCGAACCTCTATAAAAGTAACTCGTCGGGACCGACCGACCTCCGTAAAAGTAAACAAATAATGCGCACGCGGGAGCATATGTGCTCGATTACTATATGGAAGATTAAGACATGACTTTTACGGAGGTCGACTGTAGCTCGAAACGTAAGGGAGCGCCATTTCTTTTCGCCGTCCGAAGAAAAGTAGAAGCAAAAGTATGAACCTTTTGAAAGAGGTTGGAACGTACAGTGGAGAGATCGGCGCTCACATTCAAGAGGCCTGTGTAAGCATAAAGAAGATGAGCTAATGATCCTTTTATTCAATCCATCAAAGAATGATTTGGAACACCTCGGCTTCGAGAAGATATTGGAACACATCCAATGGCTACGTTTACACCGCGCGCTTAGTCCGCGACCTATACCTCAAATTCGACCTAAATTATTTAGGTCCTATGGTGTAAACATTTGGTAGATGACTCGACCTAGCTTTAGGTCAGGCCGCGTTTCTTAACGGCCTCACCTAAAATAGGTCGTCTGCTTTCTCGGTGTAAACGCGCAACGCGACCTAAAGCTTTTTCATTTGCTCGATAAAGTTCACTCTTCACTTCTGTTTTGTGGAATTAGAGGTTAAGCCGGTTTGTTATCTAGTTCTAGATAAAATAAAAAGACTTATTAGTGTTAATTTGATAGATGGCTTAGTAATTCGGACCAACGTGGACTAAATACGACCCCATAAAGTTTTAGGTCTCTTTTGGTGTAAACGATTGGTAACTAGACCTACTTTGGGTCACGATATAGGTCAGGTCGCTGTCAGGTCGCTGGGTGTAAACGTAGCCAATGTCTTCTCGAAGATCGTGAATAGATGAGTTATACGATAATAACCATACGATATTTTCTTACACGTTATTATTGCTTGTCTAATTTTATCATTGTAAGTTATGACTAGACAGCGGAACTTTATGCAAAATACTTAACTGAATATTAACTATCGGACAGTTTTAGCAGTCAATCGTTGTTCGTTAAAGAGTTATTAAAAGGTGAATTAAAAAGATTGAGATTGCCATCTGTAAATTTACAAAATTGCAAAATATGCATTTTATGCAAAACATTCAGTTAAGTATTTTGCATAAACTTCCGCAGTCTAGTTATGACGTTACATATCTTTATTTACTTATATATATATATATATAAACTACACAATAAGTATAACTTCACTTACCAAAGCCTTCAATTTTATCATCATGACTGTTTTTCTTGAGTTCGATCAGAATATCGATAAGATCGTGTCTTTTCTCGTCGGATTCCATGCGTCTAGTCATTGTTTCCCAGAAAAGCTTGCGCAAAAAAGCGGTGGTCTCCGTACCGAACAATTTTAGACGAGCTATACGAGCTATGTCTGGAAGGAAGAACATTGTAAGTATCTCTAAAGCGCGCGGATAATTATTCATAAACATCTTCCTGCCATATTTGCGAAAATCAAGATTTGGATCTTTGAACGTGTTCACGTCGAGTCCATAAGCAGTGCTGCTAATCACATCCATGGTTAATTTAGAGCTTATATCCTTCGCCTCTATTATTTGTCCCTTACCTGCCGACAATGTCTTTAAGAATTAATTAAACTTGTCTAATTGTAGATATTATATACATATATATCGATTCTCGGTTTTTTTTGTCACGAGTAAATATTTTTGTGTGCTCCGACAATGTTTTTAAGAATTAATTAAACTTGTCTAATTGTAGATATTATATACATATATATCGTTTCTCGGTTTTTATTGTCACGAGTAAATATTTTTGTGTGTAGAGGTATAAAATACATAGATATAAATATAAGATATATAAAATATCTTAGTACTACAAAAAATTTACAGACATGATTGGTCTTTATATGTATTTCAACATTTTTTTAATTATTATGAATTGTTTAATATTCTCCAACTTACCATCTAACTTTAAAGAGTCGAGATACTCATTTAAATGATTCCCACATTCTAGCATTAAACCAAACATTTTTTTCAGTTTACCGGAAGTAAAGAATGGTGATAATTTTGCTCTTAAAATCTTCCAAGTAGGATTATTAATTAAAAAGAGAGAGGAGTTTCCAATACGGTCTTTTGGATTACCCGTGGCGTATCGGTCACAGAAGATATTAAAGTCTTTTATCAAAATACTCTTAATGATCTCGTGATCGCGAAGCAATAAGATAGGTTTGTCCAGAATGTAGAACCCTACATAAGGTTCACCCTTCGCTCGATCATATTTGTTCTTTTAGGAAATATGCCGGGGCTTTCCTTAGAAGTAGACATTCCATAAAATTGCCCACGAAAGGTGTTGGCGTTATTTCCAACACGCCCCGTTTTTTCCAATACTTAAAATTGCGAGTCATATAAAGGTAGGCGGTTATAATGAGAATTGTTAGAATTATTATGCCATCCAGGGCCCAGCAGTCTGTTAGCGCCATTTCACAACTTCTCTATAAAAATATTTGTTTTCTTGTATTTATATCAAAATAGGGAATGTTATATTTTTAATTATTTAGAGAGATTAAAGAGAAATTTGTTGTGAATATATTACCAATTTAAAAATAATGATTAAGGAATCTGTCTTCAGAAAACGACATTAAGAAAATGCTTCTAGGAAATCTAGAAGTATAAGAATTGTTATTTAATAAACACGAATCGTTATGCTATCTGAGCACCATTTTTATAACATCCCGGTAAGAATTTATACATAATCAAATATAAATATGTATAATTATTTATAAAATATGCCCATCTATGTTTTGTTTCTTTCGCGTATATAATTTCAAATCTTTCAATCTATATGTTTAGAAAAAATAATAAGAATAATTGCAAAATAATTAAGAAAATAACTTTTGTATTGCCTTATTTTACAAAAGAATAAAACTGCGATCACGTTATGATAACAATAATTTTATTTAACAATATAAAGATTAAAATAATTTTATTGATGCGCATTAGTAAATACAGCAGAAAAATAAGACATAAATATGAGGTTGCACAAATAATAGACGGGATGTCAACAATAATTAATGATACCTTGGAACTCAGATTACGTAATACCCATTATGTAATATTCTATATATATAATTTTATTCGATAAAAACGTAATTAACATAAAAATTAAATGAGTAGATAGGTAAAAAAAAAAACGAGTAAAGGAAAGATTTCAATTTAAAGTGGTATATTATCTGACATTTAATAATTCACAATTAACTATTAGTATTATCTGACATTTATTCACAATTAACTATATAGTATTCGATGTCATAAAAAACCATGGAATGTTTCGACTATACTAAGTCTTCATCAGCCAAATGAAAATAACATAGATTTAAATTAATACTCAATCTTTAAACGTTGAATGAATTTTAAGTCTAAAGGATACAAAATATAGTCATGTCGCAGTTAATTACAGTAATTACGCAATATGTCGTCTATAAAAATTATCAAAACTATTTCTTCGTTGGACGGCGAGGAATAGTGGAGTTAAACTATAAACTATAAGTGTGAAGTCAAAAGACTATTAATATGTATTTCAATATGTATCTGCATGAAAAGATTAAGTTAATTATGAGATAAAGAATTATAAAAACTATGAAATTTACACTTATAAAACTTCCACGAATGATGAGAGTTCGTGTTATATTTAGCGCTAACAGGAAAATGCAAAGGATATGTCGATGATATTATTTATGTTGAGTATAATATCAATTATACTATGTATCTTGGTATAATATCTATCTTGATATAATAATTAATTAAATTAAAATCTTTTCTTTGCTTGTTTTCTTGACTTATCTACTCATTAATTTGTGTGTTTACAATATCGAGCGGATTACGTTTTTTCTTATTTTACATATATGTAACATAATTTTCGACATGTCTTATCGCGTAGAGGAAAGTCACCGATACCGACATACCATTTCACGTTTTTAGACAATATTTTTTAAACAAAAGATAAAAATAAAACTTTAAAAACATAAGTACAAACTAAAAAGTGTCTTTTATCAGATAGTATAAGCAGTTTTTATAATACTGTTTGCAATTTTGCAATAATTAATGCTTTCGTAAGGTAAGCAAAAATGAGCGTTTGACAAAATGGGCTCCAAAACTGACACAGTAGGCAGTAATGCTACGTATTCCCATTCTTTTTCTTTTACAGGAATTATCTGTATAAAGTACCTATAAGTGAATGTATATAAGATTTTTTAGAAT